GCGCATGGGGGGAAAACCGGTAAAAAATAGAACCCCCGAGAGACTTGTTGATTTTAAAACAGAAACGTGCGATTGCCGCCGTGTCATCCGTGAAACTAAAACCCCTTGTTGGGGAGACTATGTTTCCGCCATCACCTCTGCTTCTTCTATGGTGCAGTCTGGAAAAAAAATGAGGAAATTGGTGTAAATACTCTCCGACCCCTCCCCTTTCTACGGGTCACTGGGTTGATATAGCAAACCCTCTCGAACGTTTCCATTGAATTGGCACAATTTGGGCCTATTCCCCAGGCTCCCCTCTTGCCCCTCGTTTCTTTCCTCAAAGTCTTAGAGAGTTAGACCCTTGGACCTTTCTTCTCTCAGAGAAGAACATATAATGTGCCTTTTTTACTTCAAGAACTGGGGGCAACGCCTCAGCTTGCTGTATCGGCAGCTGGCCGATGACATTTATATCGATGTTACAACATTTTCATCGGGCACCCTTTTGTCCTCTTACACCTCTTTAATGTTTTTGGGCACAAAGGGGTTCTTCCCCAGCGGGAAAACTGCCATTTTCTCCCTTTCCAAACCCGGGATAAGGGCATGATGCCTCCCACATCGCCCCTCGCTCTTACTAGTGCAGTTTGCAAAGTGATGGAACGCCTCGTAAATCGACGTTTAATGTGGTATTTAGAGACACTCAACAGTCTCTCCGCTAGTCAATATGGCTTTCGTAAGGGTCGTTCTACCATAGACCCCTTACTACGCTTGGATACGTATGTTCGTAATGCCTTTGCGAATAATCACTCAGTTATTGCCATATTTTTTGACCTTGAGAAGGCATATGACACAACTTGGAAGTATAATATTTTGGCCCAGGCCCATTCCTTAGGCCTCCGAGGCAATCTACCATCCTTCCTTAAGAGCTTTTTAACTGACAGACATTTCCGTGTTCGAGTCAATAATGTTCTTTCCCCGGACTTCATCCAAGCTGAAGGTGTCCCTCAGGGATGTGTTCTAAGCACAACACTTTTTCTCCTTGCTATAACTGATTTGGCCTCTGTTCTTCCACCCAATATTTGGTCATCACTCTATGTTGATGACTTCGCTATTGCTTGTGCAGGCGCTGACTGTCACCTTATTGCAGTTTCTCTCCAGCATGTGGTCGACCGTGTTTCCACTTGGGCCACCACACATGGGTTTAAATTTTCAAGTACCAAAACTCACCAAATTACTTTCACTAGACGCTCTGTTATCTCCGATCATCCTTTGTATCTCTATGGCTCCCGTATCCCCGAACGTGATACAGTCAGGTTTCTAGGCCTTCTCTTTGACCGTCGGTTATCCTGGAAACCTCACATTACCTCTCTGAAGGCAACTTGTCACAGCCGGCTGAACCTTCTTAAAACCCTTGCTCATCTTCCTGGGGAGCTGATCGTTCGAACTCTGCTTCGCCTACATTCAGCCCTTGTTTTATCGAAACTCGATTATGGTGACCAGATTTATTCCGCGGCCTCTCCTGCTACTCTCCTAGCCTTAACTCTATCCATCACCAAGGCTTACGTTTGTGCACTTGGTGCTTTTCGCTCTTCCCCTGTTGAGAGCCTCTATACAGAAGCAAATGTTCCATCCTTGTCTGATCGCCGTGATGCCCATTGCCTTCGTTACTATGTACGCTCTCACGATCTACACAATCCTTCCATTTATAGAATGGTCACCGATATTAGTAGACATTCTTTATTCGTTCGCCGCCCGTTTGCTCCGTCCCCTTTTCTCTTCGCCTACATTCACTCTTGCTTCCCTTCAGTTACCACCTTTATATGTTCATGTAGCATCTCACTTTTCCCCTACCCCCCTGGGAAGTTCCAGCTGTTCGGGTCTGTTCTTTCTCACTCCCTTGCTCGAAAGCTCAACTGCCTACGGTAGCTTCCCGCTCTCTTTTTCTTGATCACTTCCACTCCCATTCTCATGCCACCGCTGTGTACACAGATGGCTCTAAGTCTTCAGACAGCGTCGGATTCGCAGCAGTGTTTCCGGACAGCGTCGTACGGGGGCATTTACTATCTTCAGCTAGCATTTTTACTGCTGAACTGTATGCCATTCTTGCAGCACTTATTCGTATCGCATCTATGCCTGTGTCATCATTTGTAGTAGTCTCAGACTCCTTAGTGCTCTACAGGCTATACGAAAATTTGATACATCTCATCCCCTAGTTCTCCTATCCAACTTTGGCTACGCCGTATCTCTACCAAACATAAAGATATTGTTTTTTGTTGGTCCCTGGTCATGTCGACGTACAGGGCAATGAACAGGCAAGACACTGCTGCGCGGTCAGCAGTACATGACCTACCAATTTCCTATCGAGGTGTTCCATTTCTGGACTATTTTGCTGCAATAGCTACCCACCTTCGCACCCGTTGGCAACAACGTTGGTCAACTCTGCTCGGTAACAAACTTCATTCTATTAAACCGAGCATAGGTTACTGGCCGTCTTCTTGTCATCAATGCCAGAGTTGGGAGACCACTCTCTCCCGCCTTCGCATTGGCCACACTCTTCTTACTCATGGGTATCTCATGGAGAGGCACCCTGTTCCTCTCTGTGAGCAGTGTCAAGTTCCAGTATCGATTCGCCACATTCTGTTAGACTGCCCTCTCTATCAACGAGCATGCAGAATTTACCTCCAACGTCGTCTTCGTTCTACTACTCTCTCTTTACCTTCCCTTCTTGCTGATGGACCCTCCTTTAATCCTGATTCTCTCATTGACTTCTTGACAACGACTGATTTACTCCACAAACTCTGATGATACTTTTCGCACTCCCCTCAGCCCTTTCTAGTTCAGTCTCTTGCTGCCCTTTACCCTTTCACCATCCACTACCCCGCTGTTATCCGTAACCTATTACTCATCCATCTCCCTTTTGCCACCTGATGCCCTCGCTTCCTTCCTGCCCTGCAGCGCTGTATAGTCCTTGTGGCTTAGCGCTTCTTTTTGATTATAATAATAATAATGCCGAAGTTCAAGAGTAAACAAATGACCTCACACGTCTAATACACGCCAGCTGGTGGGTCTAATATACATTCACAAATGTGGTGATATTATTTATACAATTATTACAATATTGCATGACAGTAAATCTTCCATTTTTTGGTTTGAATAAAAATTCATAATGTGAATAAAAAATGAAAATGGAATTCATTTCTAAAGCCTGAAAACATAACTAATGAACAGAGGAAATGTTAGTTTAGTACCAGAAATCCCTGCATTGTTTATTCTGGACCCTATTTTGAAATTGGAATAGTATTTTGAACTTTGCACTAAATTGGCCAAATTACCAATTTCCAATCACTTTATTTTGTAGTTGAAACAGTTGAGTTGGTGATTTCTTGTGCTCAATCGATAGAACAGAAGTAATACTAGTGAAATAGCTAAGAATTTGGTTGACTGGAATAAAGTAATTGGCCTAAAATGGGAGTCAAATTTGGCAAAATCGCCGATGCATAAATATCGCTGACACATCAAAATTCGCGAGAGCATAATTTCATCAGTTTTCCATCAAATTTCATACTTTTTGTTTTATTACCTTCAGAAAAAGATTCTCTACCATTTCATAAGAAAAAATAACAAAATTATTTTTTGAAAATTCTTGGACACTGGTGCACACTTTGAAATTTGGCCTTTGGACCCTGAAAGGGTTAAATTCACTAACATCAGCACTGGTTCCAGGCATTTTCTTTGCAAGATCGGCATGCAACTGCCTTGCCTTTTAACAAATGATCGACTCTGAAACACTATCACCCGCTATCTGTTTATTGTTGATCCATACCACCAACAACTTCTCAACCTCTTCGACTGTTTGTGTTCTATTTTTGGTTAACACACAATCGGTAAACAAGCACTAAACACAATGAATTTATTGTGAAATGTTCGGATGAGTGTGCAGGGTAATGTTCACTCAAGGATAAACAAAGCTAGACTGGCTCATGATGCCTGCATGGGGAGGCACAGGTCTGGTATGCCGGTTGAAACACGGGGCAATGGCCGAAACTGGGGACAAAGTTTAGCTGAAAAAAGCGGCCGAAACTCGAAATGGCCTGTACTCAGGGCAGCTGAAACTCAGGGTTCCACTGTAGTTTATACATGCCATTTACCAGAAATGTACAGTATGCCATTTTATAGGAATAGTTTTGTTTAAAGGTCACTCAGCCCTGCACATAAAGGAAAACAGAGATGGAGGGGAGGGGAAAAGGCTGAAAAAATGGTGTAGATGAAGTAAACCAACGTCAGTCTGAAAAGTAAAATCAGTGCAGCAAAAGTGAGTCACAGAGGTGAGAGGATAAAATAAGCATGGCCACATCAGAAAAGATCTGAAATTATTCTGACAAGCTCTTTAATGAATGGGTCAGTCAAATTATTTTGGACTGTCAGGGCAGCTTGATACTCGCAGATTGGTGAAGCTCACCTCTGTGAGTTGGCCACATGTGTCTAATATGACAATATAATCGTGCAAAGTACAGTTTCCCAAAACTGACAGCAGTATAAGGATGATGGCCAGAAGCCTAACTGTAGTTTATGTAAAAAAAAAAAAATTATTAGCCACTAATAAGAACTAATGACATTACCATCAATCTAGCATGAGCTGAATTAATCAGAGAATGGCAAATGCCTGTGGAAGTTAGAAAGGTCCAGAACTGCAGTACACCCTGAAGTATCCACAAGTTCCTTTCCTTGAAACTCCATGTCTAGGTACCCAGCATAAAACTTCTGGTACTTGCAAGAAATGTGGCACCAACATTGGTGAATGTCAACAAGGAAATAAAAAATCTGAATTACACTCTAGAGAGTCAGAGACTGTTGAAAAATATGAGTATATTGGGTACTAAATTTTCACTTTTGTTTAAAATTCACAATCATAATAAGTCTTAACATGCAGATTTAAATCACCGATGTATAAATGGCACCATACCATGTTGATATTTATAGTACCACAGTTGTAGATTGTTTTGTTAGAAATGAAACAAACTAGATTTTGGTTTAAGAATTTCTTACTATAAATTCATATTATTGCAGTGACATTTACAGTCCCACTTAAACACATCACAAGTTTTGCTAAACAATTATTATTACAGTACAGGTTGGCCATCACTAATCTGGCATCCTTGGGACCTGTAGCATGCCGGATTAGTGAGTTTGCCAGATTACAGAGTGGTTAGGTTAGAATACACTTAATTAACCTATCAATAGAGAGACTTTCTGCTACATCTTCCTCATTTTCATCACTGCTTTCTCCTCCACTGGCTTGCTGCTGTGGATTTACAACCATATGCACAATTTCTGAGTCAGTATAATGATGAAATTTTAGTCAGTATAATGATGAAATTTGAAATTATGCTACCCAAAATTATTGCTGGATTACTGATGGAACTGGATTAGTGATGGCCGACCTGTACTACTGCAAAACTCAAGTCATTAAATGGATCATCAGATTCACTTTCAAAGAGTCCATCTATATGTTCCTGTGTAAGCTGTATTGTATACCAATGATATACAACTAGTCAAACAGCAACATCATGGAATCTTGGTACAGAGGACATCTCCACAACCTACTTGCCTACTCTTGGGTATAACCTATTTCCACTGGGGAATCCTGCCTACCCATGGCAATGCCTTCATCTACTGCACCTCATCTGATGCCAGTATATAAGCACCAGCCTTTCTTCCTGTGCTTTGTGTTCTTCAAGACTGTTCATCACCTGTTCCTATGCTGAGGAACTGATTACCTTGTCTTCTATTGTCTTTTGTATGAATTTCTAGTCTTCAGATTATGTCTATGAATTGTATTGATAAAGCCAATGGATGGAGAAACATCTACAAGTTAAAAGATATCTGGATGTTGCACATATGTCTAATTCATCATTATTACATTAGTCAGCAACATTATTATCAACACTAGCAGATCATGCTGACACTGTCATCAAACAGGGCATCATGCCATCTAAAGCATTTGATATATGTACTGCACTTAAGAAATTATCACATCTGAGGAATATATCTTCCTAAATTAATAATCCAGCAGCCCAGCCAATTCCAGGTTGTTTCAAATTTCCAGCTTTTGCAAGTTCCTCAGGGTCATTTACCATACACCTGTTCCATACGTAGTGGCCCTTCACTTTGAAAGGCTTGTTCAAAGAAACATCCATGGGCTGGAGTAGAGATGTTACCACAGGTATTGCCACTTCCCTAAAATTCTTTAAATCTAGATAAAACTTTTTGAAACAAAATGGGCCCTGAACTGGTCCCAATCAAGTAGGGACTTCAGTAATTCATTTCTGGTTTGGATGACAAAGAATTATCTAATTACAGTATTGTAAGGCTGTGTTTGGTGTACATAAACCTGTCAAATACCAATGAGTTGGCTGAACAGGTGTCAGCATTAGCAGTCTTGTGTAGGCTTCGTTAGGCTCCAGTCCAAGATTTTTCTGAAGCAGTAAAAGTCTTGTTAACAAGGTCCCCAGATTTTGTAAACCATACTTCCACAGAATGTTCTCAACCCAATCCTTGGGCTGCACAAACACTTGTATTTTTGGAGGAAATGCCTCTTTTGGCACATTTTTCTTTAAACACTACAGCTGGTTTCAATTTTGTTCCATCAGCCATATAGGCTGAAATCAGGTTAAATGTGCTTTCTCAGTTCCAGTAGTTTTGACAAAAAATTTTCACCAATTGTGTGCACTGTAGTATTTCCTGATATATCAAAAAAATGGGCATTTCATTGTTTTTAATCTGAGAAAATTTTTTAAATTCCTTCCAATTTCTGATAAAAACATTTAGCACTCTTTTCTGCTCTTCGACATTAAACAGAAGGTTCTGGGTGATGTAAGTTCTTGTGCATAGTGAAAGTTTATAGCAAATCATAAAAGTTACACCATCCTGACAATGCCTGCAATACAATGGCATCAATATTTTGCTCATTCTGGTGTATTTCAAGGACCTAGGTAAACAAATCGTTTTCTAACTATTCATAGGGATTTACATGAATTACAATATCAATATTATTCTTAGCTTTTGGAATTTTCATAAGGCTTTCCTTGTTTTTTCATCATTCGCTTCGAGATTTTTTCTGTGGTGCCAAATTTAATCATCAACACAGCTGGAAGCATTCTCAGCAACACACAACTTGACGATATTGTGCTTCATGTGTCCTTTGATGCTTTCTGCAGGCACATCAATGTTCAATAAGAATGAAAAAAATATTCTCAAGAGCTTATTGTAATGGTGAGAGTACCAAAACCAAGGGTGAAGGTGGTGATAACAGTAATCATCATCATTAGTGAAGCTAATAGTTTGGGCAGCTTAAAAAATAGATTAGACAAATATACAAGTGAAAAAGGTTGAGTCTGAAAAGTAGCAGCCTAACATGGGCTACCTGCAGTGCTTCTCTATCCTTATGTTCTTAGTAGTAAAGTATTTCAAAACTTTTATTTAAATAAAATTATAAACATGAATAAAATAATTTTCATTTACAAAAAGCATTCTGGTAGTCAATCTTGCAGTAGTTAGGATTCAGTTGCTCTCAAATCTGCTCGGGGCCATCACAACCCTTTAACTCAATAACATGACAGTGATATTAGCCTAAATATTTTTTTTCACTATTTTGATAATTTTTCATAATTTTTTAATGGCAATTTGCTCTGATATGATGAAAGATATTCTTGCTTTATAGCTGATAATATACAGTGCAATATGGCCCAAAGGTCAAGGATACTGCCCTGACCAAAAGTCAGACATTCCATTCAAATATTGTTTTGTTACTGTTTTAACCAACTGGATTCTACTGATATTTCACCATGTATCCCAATTGTCATGGAAGTTTTCCCAACCAAAATTTACTCTTGGTTGAATGTATATTACATTTGCATTATTAACAATTGCTAGATACTTCATAATATTTTGCTTATAAACTGAAAGATTTTAAATCCTTCTTTACATGTTGAAAGCCCTAATGAAACTTTCTACTTAAGAGTTAGTGCTGTGTGGTACAAATGTACTTAACAGTGGTAGTCAAACAATTACAGTGGACCCTCGACTAACGCTATTAATCCGTTCCTGAGAGCTCATCGTTAGTCAAAATAATCGTTAGTCAAGTTAATTTTCCCCATAAGAAATAATGGAAATCAAATTAATCCGTACAAGACACCCAAAAGTATTGAAAAAAAAAAAATTTAACACAGGAAATATTAATTTTAATACACACAAACTGAAGAAGACATGCACAGTTACATGACACTTACCTTTATTGAAGTTCTGGTGATGATTGATGGGATGGGAAGAGGGGAATGTGTTGATGGTCTTAGTGTTTAGAAGGGGAATCCCCTTCCATTAGGACTTGAGATGGCAAGTCCTTTTTCGGGGTTACTTCCCTTCTTTTAATGCCACTAGGACCAGCTTGAGAGTCACTGGACCTCTGTCGCACAACATATCTGCCCATAGAGGCCTTTACTTCCCGTTCCTTTATGACATTCCTAAAGTGTTTCACAACATTGTCAGTGTCACCATTAAACACTTGTTCAGGTTTCAGTCTTTCACTGCCCTATGTACTCCTTGAATTCCTGCACATATTTTTCAGCTGCTTTTTGGTCCAAACTGGCAGCCTCACCATGCCTTATCACACTATGTATGCCACTACGATTCTTAAATCTCTCAAACCAACCTTTGCTGGCCTTAAATTCACTCACATCACCACTAGTTGCTGGCATTTTTCTAATTAAATCGTCATGCAACTTCCTAGCCTTTTCACATATGATCGCTTGAGAGATGCTATCTCCTGCTATCTGTTTTTCATTTATCCATACCAATAACAGTCTCTCAACATCTTCTATCACTTGCGATCTCAGTTTCGAAAACATAGTTGCACCTTTTTCAAGAACAGCTTCCTTGATTGCCGTTTTCTTGGCCACAATAGTAGCGATGGTTGATTGGGGTTTTGTGTACAGCCTGGCCAGCTCGGAGACACGCACTCCACTTTCATACTTAGCAATGATCTCTTTCTTCATATCCATAGTAATTCTCACCCTTTTTGCTGTAGGGTTGGCACTAGAAGCTTTCTTGGGGCCCTTGGTGACATATTTTGCAGGTGCAATCACTAAAAAGGCTGTCATAATATGAAATGTTCCGATTGTATGCTTGGAAGCGACCGCGGTGGCTGGCTGGCTTGTAAACACTGGCCAGAAGTGGACGCGTCTCAGACGGAACGAATAGCGTTGGTCGAGTTTTTTAGCGCTAATCGAGGCAAAATTTTTGCGATAAAATGTATCGCTAGTCAGATTTATCGTTAATCGATGTCATCGCTGGTCGAGGGTCCACTGTACTTAACTACAAATTAAAAGCTAAATATTAGAATCCATTTTACAGTTAACATTAAAGTGACTCCTTGAACCAGGACCATACTTCTTACTCACTTGTATAGAATATTAACCTATCTGACCCATTTTGACACCATTAAACTAACATGCATTGATGTATATTCATTAAATGCATACATAAACAAGTAGAACAGTAAACACAATTAAACATAAGTGACTAAAAATATGCACCTTAATGTGGTCCAAGCTTAAGAGTAGTGTTGTATTAGACAGGAATTGAACCTATCGGTTTCTCAAATACATGTACTACTCAGTTTTTTTCCAAAATGCCAGAATGTAAATTTTTCTGTAGTCATTGGCAACAGGCGATATATTCATTATATCTTCACAAAACAATCGGCAACAGGCGATATATTCATTATATCTTCACAAAACAATCAACTCTCTGAGCTACCATTTTTTGCAACATTAATAAATAACTGGTATTTAGTAACAATCTTTTTTACTCTTTTTTAATACAAAATAATTCTTCACTAAATTGTGATTATCACATTTTCCTGGAAATCTTTTTGAAAACAATACAAGTTATTTGAGAACCAACCTTACCTCCAAATTTGAAAGTTGGTGTTGGAATGATGTACTCTTTACTGAAGTCTGAAAAATATATGAAAAATATATTAAAACAGAGTAGCATACTACCATTCAACATGCTAGCAAGTCTGTCAAGCTCTCATAAACTAAAAGCAAGGAATCGTCGTGTCTAAATTTTAGCATTTCTTCTGAGAGCCTGTGAGGTAGACCCATAATGCCTTATCCACACCTAGACCCATCTTTTTGGCCACAACAGGAGTCCATCACACACAGTACAGTGGACCCCTGGTTTGCGATGGCATCAGTATCCAGTAAATCCGGTATTCAATACATTTTAACGCAAAAATTTTGCCTCGGTTCCTGTTAAAAAACCCACCATACGCGATTCATCCGAGACGTGTCCACGTGTGGCCCAGTGTTTACAAGCCAGCCAGTGTGCTCGCATCTAAGGATACATTCGATACATTCCATATTATCACAGTGTTTTTGGTGCTTGTTTCTGCAGAATAAGTCACCATGGGCCCCAAGAAAGCTTCTAGTGCCAACCCTGTGGTAAAAAGGGTGAGAATTGGTATGGAAATTAAGAAAGATTTTGAAGGGTTTAGGGCTAACCCTGAGAAGCCTATGTCAGTTGTGGAATCCATTGTGCCTACTTCAAAAATTAAGGAAATGTGTGCAAAGTGGGTTGAACTGCAAACCTTTATGGATGAAAATCACCCTAACACAGTTATTTCAAGCCGTGCTGGTGACTATTACAATGGCAATGTTGTGGCCCATTTTAGACAAATCGTAAAGGAACGGGAGGTACAGAGCTCTATGGACAGATTTGTTGTGCGACAGAGGTCCAGTGACTCTCAAGCTGGTCCTAGTGGCATTAAAAGAAGAAGGGAAGTAACCACAGAAAAGGACTTGCTACCTCAAGTCCTAATGGAGGGGATTCCCCTTCTAAACAATAAGTTCGACACTCTCCCCTCCTCCCATCCCATCAATCACCACCAGATCTTCATTAAAGGTAAGTGTCATGTATTCTGTTGTTAGTAGAGTACTACAAACTGTGCATGTCTTCTTCAGTTTTTCATGTGGTAATTTTTTTTTTTTTTCATAATTTTGGGTGTCTTGCACAGATTAATTTGATTTCCATTATTTCTTATGGGGAAAATTGATTCGCTTTTCGATAATTTTGGTTTATGATGAGCTCTCAGGAACGGATTAATATCGCAAACTGGGGGTCCACTGTACAAAGATTCTTTCACCATTCACCAGTACAATACACTTGTCAGCTCTTTGCTAAAATTTCCCTTCTCTATGGCCAAGCTACTTCATAACCAGACACCTGAGATTCACCACCAATCAACAGATGCTGCCTTTCCAGGAAACCAGTTCTATGGCTCTGTTATGTGGATGCCAGAAGATCTCTGGCTAGTGTGTGGATACCAGCAGAGTTCTGTCTGAGATGTGGATACATTAATGTTTATAAATTGACTTTTCTAATGCATGAAATTGTTTTGTAACACTTAAATATATTTACAGTATAATACTTTGAGCCGTGGACTGCCAATGTATGTTCTGCTTGTATTTTCATAGGATTTGATCCCTCTCATGTCAACCCTTTTGCTGTACTTCACATAGAACTACATCATTGAGGCCAGGTGTCCCTCACATAGTGTTATGTCATGAGCTCGCCCAGATAAGTTGTAAGAGGTAAATTTTGGCCTAGATATGAGAGAATGGGTCTGTGTGGCGAGTATGCACAGTATAAAAAAAAAAACATTCTGACCCATGCCATGCATGATAGGAAAGACAAAACTTTGACCATCTGTATCATTTAAAAGGTGACATTGAGGTGTTGTTTTTTTTTTTATATTTCTATGATTTTATTTGTTTCTTGGTATCATTTAGCAGAATAAAAGACATGCTGTACAACTGAAATAGAGATGACTTTTATTGGTTTCAGGATCAGAAGTAGCTGGAAATTGAGCTCCTCTTCAAGGGGGGCTCCTTGGCGTGGTGAAGAGACTCTTGGTCTGAGGAATCAGACCTGTCGGTCTCCTTCCTCAGACCGAACCTAATTACCCCCCAATCCCCCCTTCCCTATCCCATCCTCCCCTTTTTTCTTTCCTCCTCCTCCTCTCCACCCCTCCCTTTTGCCCTTCCTCTTTTTGGCCTTTGGGATTTTTCCCACAAGCACGCTAGTTCCTAGGTAGGGGAAAGGGTACCAGGGTCCATCCCATTCCATCGAGATTCTTGGCGGTGGTGTAGTTTGCCGTGGAATCTGGATCGCCTGGGGATGTCCTGATCCCTCTCCGGTATCCCGGAGGGTAGCTTTGGGTGTCTTTCGGGCGACGGGAAGCCACCTTTCGAATTCCGGGGTGGTTGCCAAAGGAGATATGCTTGTGGCGGATATCCGCCGCCCTCGCTTTTGTCCACCGAGGTAGCTCGGCAGATGTGAAGTTGCTATCTCGGATTGCTGGTTTACTGGCATGAAGAGTAGGGTATGGCACGGGTTCCATGCTGCATCTGCACTACTTGCAGTATAGCAGGCATGCAGGGAGTGTAGCTGACATGCAGGGAGTGTAGCTGGCATGCAGGGAGTGTAGCTGGCATGCAGGGAGTGTAGCAGGCATGCAGGAGTGTAGCAGGCATGCAGGGAGTGTAGCAGGCATGCAGGGAGTGTAGCAGGCATGCAGGGAGTGTAGCAGGCATGCAGGGAGTGTAGCAGACATGCAAGGAGTGTAGCAGGCATGCAGGGAGTGTAGCAGGCATGCAGGGAGTGTAGCAGGCATGCAGGGAGTGTAGCAGGCATGCAGGGAGTGTAGCAGGCATGCAGGGAGTGTTGCAGGCATGCAGGGAGTATAGCTGACATGCAGGGAGTGTAGCAGGCATGCAGGGAGTGTAGCAGGCATGCAGGGAGTGTAGCAGGCATGCAGGGAGTGTAGCAGGCATGCAGGGAGTGTTGCAGGCATGCAGGGAGTATAGCTGACATGCAGGGAGTGTACCCAGGCATGCAGGAGTGTAGCTGACATGCAGGAGTGTAACAGGCATGCAGGGAGTATAGCTGACATGCAGGGAGTGTAGCAGGCATCCAAGGAGTGGAGCTGACATGCAGGGAGTGTAGCAGGCATGCTGGGAGTGTAGGAGACATGCAGGGATTGTAGCTGACATGCAGGGAGTGTAGCTGACATGCAGGGAGTGTAGCTGACATGCAGGGAGTGTAGCAGGCATGCTGGGAGTGTACGAGACATGCAGGGATTGTAGCTGACATGCAGGGAGTGTAGCTGACATGCAGGGAGTGTAGCTGACATGCAGGAGTGTACGGCATGCTGGAGTGTAGAGACATGCAGGGATTGTAGCTGACATGCAGGGAGTGTAGCAGGCATGCAGAGTGTTGCAGGCATGCAGGGATTGTAGCTGACATGCAGGGAGTGTAGCAGGCATGCAGGGAGTGTAGCAGGCATGCAGGGAGTGTAGCAGGCATGCAGGGAGTGTAGCAGGCATGCAGGGAGTGTAGCTGACATGCAGGGAGTGTAGCAGGCATGCAGGGAGTGTAGCAGGCATGCAGGGAGTATAGCTGACATGCAGGGAGTGTTGCAGGCATGCAGGGAGTGTTGCAGGCATGCAGGGAGTGTAGCTGACATGCAGGGAGTGTAGCAGGCATGCAGGGAGTGTAGCTGACATGCAGGGAGTGTAACAGGCATGCAGGGAGTGTATCTGACATGCAGGGAGTGTAGCAGGCATGCAGGGGTGTAGCTGACATGCAGGGAGTGTAGCAGACATGCAAGGAGTGGAGCTGACATGCAGGGAGTGTAGCAGGCATGCTGGGAGTGTAGGAGACATGCAGGGATTGTAGCTGACATGCAGGGAGTGTAGCTGACATGCAGGGAGTGTAGCTGACATGCAGGGAGTGTAGCAGGCATGCAGGGAGTGTAGCTGACATGCAGGGAGTGTAGCAGGCATGCAAGGAGTGGAGCTGACATGCAGGGAGTGTAGCAGGCATGCTGGGAGTGTAGGAGACATGCAGGGATTGTAGCTGACATGCGGGGATTTGTAGCTGACATGCAGGAGTGTAGCTGACATGCAGGGAGTGTAGCAGGCATGCGGGGAGTGTAGGAGACATGCAGGGATTGTAGCTGGACATGCAGGGAGTGTAGCAGGCATACAGAGAGTGTAGCAGGCATGCGGGAGTGTAGCAGGCATGCAGGGAGTGTAGCAGGCATGCAGGGAGTGTAGCTGACATGTAGGGAGTGTAGCAGGCATGCAGGGAGTGTAGCAGGCATGCAGGGAGTGTAGCAGGCATGCAGGGAGTGTAGCAGGCAGCAGGGAGTTTTAGCTGGCATGCAGGGAGTGTAGCTGACATGCAGGGAGTGTAGCAGGCTGCAGGGAGTGTAGCTGACATGCGGGAGTGTAGCAGCATACAGGGAGTGTAGCAGGCATGCTGGGAGTGGTAGCTGGCATGCGGGAGTGTAGCTGCCCATGCAGGAGTGTAGCAGGCATACGGGAGTGTAGCAGGCATGCTGGGAGTGTAGCTGGCATGCAGGAGTGTAGCTGGCATGCAGGGAGTGTAGCTGACATGCGGGAGTGTAGCAGGCATGCAGGGAGTGTAGCAGGCATGCAGGGAGTGTAGCAGGCATACAGGGAGTGTAGCAGGCATGCTGGGAGTGTAGCTGGCATGCTGGGAGTGTAGCTGACATGCAGGGAGTGTAGCTGACATGCAGGGAGTGTAGCTGGCATGCAGGGAGTGTAGCTGACATGCAGGGAGTGTAGCAGGCATACAGGGAGTGTAGCAGGCATGCTGGGGTGTAGCGGGCATGCTGGGAGTGTAGCTGCATGCAGGGAGTGTACTGACATGCAGGAGTGTAGCTGGCTTTGCAGGAGTGTAGCTGGCATGCAGGGAGTGTAGCTATAAGTTTTTTCTTGAATTTTATTGTGTTTTTTTCCTTCTTTATCACAGGGTTGGCACTAAAACTTTCTTTGGGCCATGGTGGCTTATTTAGCAGTTACAAGCACTAAAAACAAATAATACAAAATATATTGCATGTATGAGTGGAATCAGTCCTCAGTGGCTT